TTTCTTCTGAAATGGCAGAGGTTTAATGACTCATTGAAGTACATAAAAACACACAGTCTAAACAACATGCTTTTTGACTTAAAATGTTTTCTCATTGAGCAATAATTTGCATTTTGATTAACAACCTTAACTTTAAATGGGACATGTGTAACTTCCATGACCTTGTAACTGTGCCTATTTTACTATAAACAGTTGAATAGTAACTAGATTGCCATTAGAAATTTTCTTTAGATCTTGGGAGTTTTTATTACCAATATTAAACTATGACAATGCTAGGCAATTTGCAATCTCAACAGAAGCAAGTTCAAAGACCATTTTTCACCGTGCTGTGTGTATGGTATGCATAGAAGTGGCCAAAACGGAAACCTCTGAAATACGCCACACCATTTGTGAGGTTCTCTTGGTTTTGGTGGGTTCCACAGTGAAAAGTCATGAATCAATTTTTAATACGAACAGTGCTATGCAAATGTTTGTTGCCTCTGCATATTTTAACTTTATAAAAAGGCAAACTGAAAATAATGGAACAGAAATTGTTTTGTATCACATACTGTAATTTCTTGGCAGTATCAACCAACATTAATGCATTACTTCTGCTGAATCTTATCATAATGACCTGACACGAGTAGCTTGCCTGGTGAACTTCCGCAGAAATAAGAAGAAATCAATTCTTTATATCCTTCAGAGGCAATATAGAGCTTTAAGCTCTCCTTAGCTCAACCAAAATGTCAACTAGACAAGTTGTTAAGAAATCAAGTAATTTATTTTAGATAGAAGAGAATTAAAATGCAGGTTTGCTATTCATGTTTTTCTAGTTATGCTAAAGTGACGTTCTTGGAATGACACTTTCAGGATGTCACTTTTGGAAGTGGAATTTTTTATGGTCATAGAGGGACTCATTAAAAAATTAAAAAATGATTTTGTTTAAAAAAGCAAGGGAAAAAACAGATAACAAAATACTTTTCCCCATTAACTTCTGCCTCCTGCTGTTTTATTTTACTTCTTGTTGTATATACATATGTATTTCATATCTGTTTGATATATTAAAAGGTTTTCTACTTTTAATGATATTTTCATATTTCTTCTACCTGGTGTCCTGCTACCTATTACCTCAGACTCACTTAAATTTATTTAAATCCAAACTCATTATTTTCTACCCCAAATCATCTTCTCTAGAGCCCTCTTTGATGTTTTTAATGCCAGTAAGCAGAAAAGAAGTCTTATTTCCACCAACTGAAGACAACCTGTAAAATATATGCAGTGAAGACAAGATTATATTTTGAAACCCAGCAGTCACTGTTGGGCCCTGAGCCTGAAATCAGACCTCCTTGTTAGAAAGGAGAGTATCAAGCGTGAGAGAGGTGTTAGAGATGGACTGGCAATACTGAGATCTGGTAAACCCAGAAGCTGTAAGAGAGCAGACAGGGCGCAAACTCAATATGTGAGTCAAAGTTGTTTTAAAGGCTTATTTCTGTGCTGCCCATAGTCAACTTGCTCCCTTCTCCATTGTCTATGACCCTTATGTTTCCTTTAGTGCTTCAGGCTGGCAGTTCTCAATTGGGCCAGTTCTGTCCCCCCAGGGGACTTTTGCAGTGTCAGGAGACATTTTGGCTGTCACAACTGGGAATAGATGGTACTACTGGCATCTAGTGGTAGAGGCCAGGGATGCTGCTGCTGAACATCCCACAGTGCATGGGACAGTCCGGGACAATGAATATTACCAACCTACAGTGTAGTCATGCCAATATCGAAAAACCCTGCTGTAGGGGAATGTAATTTCTTCCTACATTTCTCTTCTTTGTCATGACCTATTTAGGTGTATATTTAATTTCTTTTATTCAGAGTATAAACTCCTTGACGGAAGGAAGCAAAGATATTTCTCCTCAGTATTAAACACTCAAAAAAAAAAAAAAAAAAAAAGAGGAGCATGCATTTATAGAACTTATAGGAAAAAGCTACTTGGTAGTAGTGTAATGAACCTCATCAAATTCATGGAATACTATATGTCTAAGTTTTGTTCAGTTATAGGATCTCAAGCTTGGAAAAGACCTTACATGTAATCTAGCCCTACTGCTCTTTTTCACCAAGGGACTTTTTTTTGATTTCCTAAATACTGAATTGAAAGTCAATTGCAATCATCCTTAGGTGCCAGACTGTGAAATTGGTATTTTCTCATTTAGACGCTATCAGAGTACATTTTGGCCCTCTGTGTATAGATATATACTGTATGTATGAATTCATTAAGAATATTAATTGCAGAAAAAATCACTAAATGATTTCTTCAGTTCCTTTCAACCCTGAGAATCAGTTATTTACATTGCTAGCTTTACTAACACATTTACTTACTATGTAAGGCAAAAAGAGACTGCCAGATGTGATTTTTTTTGCATAAATATTTGGTTTATTAATTTCCCATTAGCCCAAAGGTATTTAGAATTTCTATATCTAATAAATTCCTACCCATTAATTACTTAGTGCCAAAGACTCCTTTGACTTTTATATAATGACTAATACATTCTAATCGCAACCACTCTGTTGAACTCTTGTAGAACCTTCCCCATAGTATTATTAGTATTAGAATATATAAATATAGATATTCTTTTCAATTAGATCACAAAGAACTTAAGGGCAAAGTGGTTATATCTTTAAAAACATTCTACCATGTACCTAATAATGAAGAGCAGACAATTTCTAATTGTGCAATGACTGGAATTGGAGTTCTCAGATACTTTAAATTAAAAGAGAACACTTTTTTCATATATAAAATCTCATAGATATCTTTTAAGTAGCCTCAGTAGAGAAATATCAAGCTTGGTGGACATTTTAATTAATGATATTGAAAGATAAGATTCAAGAATATTTATTATATAAGACAAAAATATATGATGAGAGAATTGTAAATGGGTACATTTTAACTAAAAGGTACTGATAGTAAGCAAAAATCACACTGTTACCAGTAAAAATAATAGGGAAAATATTACCATGACTGGCAAATTTGGAAGGAACTTTTATTACCAACAGTTGAATTAACACATTGTTTATAAATTATGACTAAAGATTAATTTTACTGTTTTTGAAATATAATTACCTTCTACTCACATATAGAAAAAGTGAATTCTAGACCTGGTTTTACACTAATTGCCTGTGTAACTCTGGACAAATCACTTAACCCTACTGGAACTACTTTTTCATTTTAGAAATTCATGAGAGTTGGACAGTTTGTTTCTAAGATTGCTTCCAACTTTAACCTTAAATTTTTCTGAAGATTTATAGTTAAAACTTGTTTTACATATATTATCTCGTTTTATCGTCTCAATAGTTTTGTAAGGAAGGCCTAGTAAACATTATGGTTTTCCTTCTATTAACGAAAAAATAGGCTCAGGCAGTTAAGTAATTTATCCAAGATGGGTATGTAGCAGTCCAGTACGGTTTCCAAGGTAATTATCAAAACTCTTTCTCTGAAAGTCAGTATACAATTAATCTTAAAAATGTATTATTTTTCCCTATTTCTAAACAAAGCTTCAGAAAGTAGGCTTTCAATGACAAATGTAAGCTTTATAATTTTAAAATGGTCTCAACAATTACAACTCATGGTTTGTGCCAAGGATCGCCAATAAGGTTCAACACACACATCAACACCTATTGATTGGGAGTAGATGCCTGATGTGCTGTGCTGAGAATTTTGAGGCCAAGTTCAGGCTCAGTAGGAAAGTGTGCCATGTTAGATTAACCATGTATGTTTACCTTGAATGATGGTGAGGGGAGAGGTGGCAGAATTACTTAAGGGGGAAAGAGCTTTTTAAAGAAAGAACTTTAGAACTCAGTAATGTTTTACAAAGAGTCTGATATTGACTTGTGTTATATCAAGTTTTGCAACTCATATTGTTAAAAAAGTGTAATGAACTCTTGTCATGAATGTTTTCATAAATGATGACCTTTTTAAGTTAAAAGAGTGTCCTTCTTAAAGTCCTTAATATGAGCATTTTCATTTGTAACCCTAAACTGTGAAAAAAAGTTATTTCTAGTTAGCATTTTAATAAGCAGTTTTGCAGCTTGATCTGAAAACTTGAGGGCATTAAATATATTTTATATGTACACTTACATATGTATATAGATACATACATTGACAGGTTTATTATACAGATATTTATTATATTAACATCATAATATAATAAATATATATTATGAGTAGTAAAAAGCAATGGTGTCTACATTACTCAATGTAAACATATGTTACAGCTCTAAGAAAGGTTGAAGATATTGTCAATCAGTGGCTGCCATTTTTTGACTGGCTGCAGTTTATTAACTTCCTACTGGGTGCTATTCATCTATTCACCATGATAGGTGCTTTGCATTCTCTTTTTTCCCACCTTAAGCTTTACAAAAGCTTTTTTTCTGAGTTAAGCAAGATTACTTTATTTTAAGCAATGAACAACTACACTTTAGGGAAATTTAGTAATTGTACAGGATGATATGGCTAAGAATGTTGTAGAGCCAGAATACAGACCAAGTTCTATCAGGATCCAAAGTCCATGTTCTTACTAAAACCAGGTCATGATGAAATTTGAGGACACAGGTGCTTCCCAGTGACAGTCTATGTTCTATACATATGTGATGACGACTTCTGGGTTTTAGTTTCACTGACTTTAAATGTTCAGCTTCAGGAAGGAAAGGGAGGCATGCCAAACAAGAGGATTATTATTTTCCAGTGTTTGCCAATGTGGTGCCAATGAGTTGTTTGTCTGTAGAGTATAGTGTTTTGTCTAACAGGCACTTTCTGGATTGAGAATTTACTTTTTAACTGAGACAAAAACTTCCCCAAAGAAATTTTATTGTTGAGGAAATATGTGTATTGTGCTTTTATGCTAACCATGAACCTAAGTTTGGTTCAGAAAAGGAAAGGACCTTGGAATTTGGCAATAATATGTTATCAATAGGAACATGTAAAGTGATCATAACTGAAGCCATAAATGTAATTGGGAATGTCATTTTCTGTTTTCCAGATTCCTTGGTGTTACTCAGTTTTCGCCTACACATGCCAGAAAAGCATTTCCTTGTTTTGACGAGCCCATCTACAAGGCAACTTTTAAAATCAGCATCAAGCATCAAGCAACCTACTTATCTTTATCCAATATGCCAGTGGAAACTTCCGTGTTTGAGGAAGACGGATGGGTTACGGATCACTTTTCGCAGACCCCTCTCATGTCCACGTATTACTTAGCCTGGGCCATTTGCAACTTCACATACAGAGAAACTATCACCAAGAGTGGAGTTGTAGTAAGTATTTTCAACTTAATGATGTTTTTGGATTATGTACACTCTGTACTCTGATTTCTGGATTAACAATGGATTAATTATTCCTATCTTCCTCACATTTATATAGCTGAATTCTTTCCTTAACCCTTGGGAGAAAAATTATCTTCTCAGCTTCAAAAAGTCAGAGAGGAATGTCTCTTCTATACCCAGCTCTCTTATTCCTTCACCCCAAACCCCAACCCCATTATTCCTATTCCTCTTCATCTCCTGGGTATCTCTGGAATAGCTGTTGTTTGTTTGGGAAACATTTATATTATTGGGAAAGCTGCTTCTTTTTATTGTGAAACATTTCAAATATACAGAAAATGTGGAGAATAACATAATACACTCTATATACCTACTAGTCAGCTCTATAGAATCTAAATATTTTACCATCTTTGCTTCATTCTAATTAATTTTTGAAGAAGTAAACCATATTGGATAGAGCTCTCTATTGAAGCTCTCTGTGCACCCTGCCTGATCTCATGTCTTGCCTTCTTCCTTAGAGAGAATCACTCTACTGAATTGGCGTCTTGCCATTTCCATGTATATTATTATGTAATTATTAAGTATGTATCTATCCATTTACAATACACATCATGCTTTAAAATTTCATATAAGTGGTTTTATATTATAGATAGCATTCTGCAACTTATTTTCATTTCATTTTACTTTTTGCTTAAAATTATGTTTTTGTGGTTTATCTGATAGAATGGTTGAATGAATACATCAAAATTTGTCATCTTCCTATAGATGAACGTTTTTATTTTTCTGATTTTCAATGATTAACAGCAATGCTCAGTGAACATTTTGTACATATAAGTTCTGCCAGTGTGCTAGAATTTCTGTACAGTGAAGAGTTTCTTTTAGCCCATAACACCCAAATGTATAAAAATATGTTCTTAGGGAAGGGTAGTAATAGGAAGCCTAGAGAATTATTGTTTGCATTAAATTTATAATAAGATTCAACTGGACTCTGTATGACAGCTACTGTTTGTGACACCATAGTGTTCTAGGCACTGTTTCCATCCTACTGCATTTAATTAGTGAGGCCAGGTCAGCCATGCCAAGTTAGCAACTTCCTCCTTATTTCAATGGCTTACACAATAAATATGCATTTATTTTAATTTTCATGTCAATCCTAAAGCAAGGTATTATGATCCCATTTTTCCGAATGAGTAAATTGAGGCTTAAAGAGATTAAGTACTTTCCCAGGGTTGGTTACAAAGTAAGCAAGTGGTAGAGCCGCTGTTGGTCTGATTTCAAATTTTAGCCTTTTCCGCCATGCGCCCTAGGGGCTCTGTTACACTACTTCACTTGTGTGTCTATAACCGAATTCGGGTAATGATTCCCCCCATCCAGTGGCCATCTACTCACAAAATAAGTGAGTAGAAATCTATATTCTTATTCTGTAGGAAGTTCATAGCTCTATAATAACCTAAATTTTGAAATATTGGTTTGGCTAAATAAATGTTTCTCACTGTTACTTTCAATTTAAAGAACTGTGGAGCTTATTTTAAAATATAAAATCTGTCTGCATACAAAATTCATGCCATTATTGAAGATTCTATATATAAATTCAACTACATAATCATTAAAATAATGTTCTAAATGCTGGCTACCGAGGACTGGATGACATTTTACTCTTTGGGACTTATACTCATTTGGTAAGTTGAATTCCTCTGAGGTTTGTAATGTCTGAATATTTCAAGGCTGTACACATTGGACCAAACACAGGAAAGGAACACCAAGACATCTCATTTCCTTTTACGTCTTCGGAAGATGATGATTGACTTGCCTTGGGTCAGCTAGCAGCATAGGGTACAATGGAAATGTTTTTTTTCCAAGTATGTTTTCTTAAAAGTGTTCTCAGCCCTTCACAGTTCTGCTTGCTGTTAAGTGACCCATGTTTAAGGGACCCAGACACACTTTAATTATTTAGACGTGACTCTGTATTAGAGTTAAGAATCTAAGTAACTGGTAAACATTTTAAAAGTCCTCCTTAATCATTTTTATGAAGGAAAGATAAAACATGCTACTAGAGAACATGGAAAGGTCAAATGAAAGAAAATTTTGGATTGTATAATCTACACACACTAAGAAGTGTAGAAAGGAAAACAAAATTGCCATTGGGAGCCCTTATTTACCAACTGTGGAAATATGTTTTAAAGCTTGGATCTCTTTTTCTGTCACCCTTTGGAAATCCAATCTATTTTCTTTCCACTGCTTTTCCTCGTTATTACTGGGAGCCCATGGGAATGACATTACTCAACTCTTAGCAGCTAGAAGAAGTAGAAGTTTAGTTCTAAAATCTTGGAAGTGGGAAGGTTATGTGAAGTCCAGGAGGTCATTTTGGATCAGAAGCTGAGGCAGTTTCCTTCAGGATATGAGAGAGCAACTTGAGTGGCATCTTAATACATAGCTTAATTGTACCAGTGCCTCAAGTGTGCATATTTGAAGCATCATCATTATTTGCTTATCAAGTTATCTATACTCTGCACGGCACAATCCCGAGCAATTAGAAAGATAAAAAACAGTCTAAGATCCCTCTAGTACAGAGATTGCAAATGCAGTTTTCAGATTGAATCTAAGCCTGCAGATGTATTTTGTTTACCCATCCCTAACATGGATTAACATTTTTATCATTAATTGACAACATTTAGAAATTGGGAGATTGCACATAAAATTATTTATTTATGGCTTCTCTTGAAAAAATGGGAAGATCACTAGGCCCACATTACTGTGTGGCAATATTTGTTCATTCATTTATTTCTTCAAAAGATATTTATTGACTGAGTGTCAGGTATTGCTCTGGGCTCTGCTGATACAGCAGTGAACACAGGAGACAGGGTTTCTACTCTCAAGAAACTTACATCCTAATGAGGAGACAGTGACAATAAACAAATAAACGTATCATATGTCAGGTGGTGATATATGCATGCAGAAGGTGAGTGTGCCTGACCCATTTACATGGGGCATTTGCTTCCCAGTGTAACTTAATCAAGAACATTTTTGTTCTTTGGCATCTAGTCCACTTCACTATTGTATATTACCTGCTTTCATTCTGTAGACATTTGCATTTCTAACCTTAGTCTAAGGACATAATTCAAAAGGGTAGCCAAGGAACGTGCATTGGAAATGCAATGAATTTACCAATTGTGAATTAGTGTTACTAGCATTCAATAATTATCAAATTAAAGCTATAGAAAATAAGTTAAAGGCAGTTTTGAAGATGGAGAACTTGCTAAGGGTTAGGTCTAGGTATGTGCGTCCTGGAGGAGACAGGGTTGAGCATGGCCCTGAATGATGATTTGGTCTTAGAGAAGATGAATGTAGGCATATAATCCTCAGCAGGGGAAGTATTAATAAGAAAAGACAAAGAGATAGGTATATCTTTGGGAGATAGTGTAGCTTTATGGATATAAACACGGATTGATTTTAGAATGAGATAGGTTTGCTTTCGAATTTTTGCTTTGCTTTTCTATGACCTTGGTTAATTACTTAACTTCTCTTTATCCTGGTTTTCTTGTTTGAAAACTAGAAGTATGAATTCTTCTTTTATAATATTGTTCCAGTTACTATTATGGCATAATGAACTCCAGAATTTGTGGCATAAAACAACCTTTTAATATGCTGAAAGTTTCAGCGGGTCAGGAATTTGGAAGGGCACAGTGGCACACTGTCTCTTCTCATTGATGTCAGGGGCCTCAGCTGGGGAGACTTGATGAGTAGGGGTGACTTGACAGCAGGAGACCAGAATCCCCTGGACCATCTTCATTGTGTCTGGTTGTTCTGCCAGTCTGCTGTGATGGCAGCTCAGGCTGCTGGTCAGAGCATTTGTATGTGGCCTTCACACATATCCTGGGCTTGCTCAAAGCATGGTGGCCTCAGAGTGGTTGGACTTCTTACATGGTGAAGTAGCTCCAAAGGTGAATGTCTCAAAAGAACTAGGTAGAAGCTATATGACCCTTTTTGACTTATCTTCAGAAGCCACACAGCATCACTTTTACTGCTTTGTAATGGGTACAAGGAAGTCACTAAGGATGATTCTGATTTGATTGAAGAGAGCATAGACCCAATCTCTTGATGGGGAGTGTCAAAGAATTTATGGACTTGTTTGAAAATCAATACAGTCTGCTCTCTGGTCACAAATTAGTTACATCCATTCCACATATAAAATGCACTCGCCAATAAGTTTGGTTCATTATAGCATCAGGCTCAAGTTTGAGGTGCAGGATCTCACCATCTAGTTTAGGTCTGGGTGCAGATGAGACTACTTGTGTTTGGTTTCTTGGGCATGGTTTCTCTCTTCCTGAGGACCTATTAACTAATTAGAAAAATGATCTATCTCCACTCCTCATCCCCAAGAGACAGTGGTAAGATGAGAATATGACTATTGCAATAAACCTTTTCATTAAAGAGTAGAGAACAATGAGAAGACACAGCAGTTGCTGGCCTGTAGCAATTTTGAAATCCAACTGGGCACATGTTGCACATGTTGACAATTCCTTAATTATGGCTCATTGCTGTTCTTTCTGGAGTGTGGCCCCACCCTTTGGGCTCTTAAGTTTTGTCTTTTAAGGCATCTTTTCTCTTCCAATTAAAAAGAAGTTTGTATTTACAATTGAAAAGCTTTCTGAGCTTACTTTCTACTAGGAAAAAGTTCAGGGTCCAAAGGCTTTATTTTTCTTTTGTATTGGCTCTGTTGCTTTAAGTCCAAGCATGTATGTAATTTTATGTAATTTATAATTATATTAAAATGTTGGCTTTTATACATCAAGTTATATCCATTCCATTAGACAAAACTATACCCATAGGTCTCTTTAAGATGAGCCTTGAGGCCTTTTCCCTTAGCATTCATAGATGCTTTATTGTTTAATAGGAAGGGTTTCTAGGCACATGTTTAAGATCCTAAGAAAACCTTTTGTCTTTTTCAAAAGGCCTGTGAGGCATCACTTTAAGAGTGTCTGAAGTCTTCATTT